CCGAGCAAGAAGCTCACGTGAGCAGAAACGGTAAGTCTCTGGACAGCGGGTGGTATTCCCCTGCTTGTCCAGCGTCCTAGGGGTCCTACAGGATCTCAAGACTTACCTGCCAGCATTAATTACATCGGAATTCTGCTACCCAACAAAACCTAAGACAGGTAATAAGGCTACCTACTCGAGATGTAACAATCAATAGGCAATGGGGGAATAGTATTGGCAACTACTTTGGCCTCTCTATTACGAGTTTGGTAGTTCGAACCACACCTTCGGCACGACGATGGCCCATTTTTTGGAGACTGCGTCGCAAGCACTGACGGCTTCTACGACTGCAACTCACCGCAGCTGCAAGACGGCAGCAGGGCACGAACCTCAGCTTTTCTCCAGGTTTAGGGCTTGTGGGGCTTATAGGGTATTTAGCGGGGTGTATAGTGTATGGTTAGGGTTTATAAGGCTGATAGGCTAATAGGATTTATGAGTTGGTAACTAACGATTGTAAGGGCCTTTCAGGGGATAGAGAGAAGAAGGGCCTATCGGGTGTTCAGGCCCTACAGGGGTCTTGGTTTTGCAGGTTTACGATTGACGGCCTGGAGGGCATCAAACGGCTTATAGGCCCTTTTAAACAGGGACTAAAAGGGGTGTACAGGGTTTAAAGTTTGAAGGGTGTAGAGGGTTTATTAATGCGGCTTCTGGGGTTTAGCAAAGTTAAAGGCGGCTTCGGGGGTTTATGGCTTAATTGTTGGGTTAACAAGCGGGGCTTATTGATGTTGGGGGCTTATGAGGTTTACAACTAGTACGGTCCAGGCGTGCAGCTGCTGCGCAAGTCTGCGCAGTGTGAGATCAAGCTGACGGTGCTCCACCCAAGCCGAGAGCCGGGCGTCAGTTTGGGTGCCCCCCAACCTGGTGTGCAAGGAACGGGAACGGTGCAATGCTGCATGCATCCAACCTCTCCCGCATCCGTGGCCCGGTCGTCTGCCGCCTGGTGCGCAAGGCACAGCGAAATTGTCGGGGGCTGCGGAGTGGAAGAAAGCTTCTCTGCTGTGTACCTATTTTGGGCAGTCGTCGGGCACGTTGTAGCCAGGCATCATGAAGCCCATGCATTTCTTCGCCTCCTGCACACAAGAACGCAGATATGAGCAGTCCTAGCCAGGGTCTCTCAAATTTCCCTGCAATCAGCTCGTCAATCGCAATTCACAGGCTCTCCTCGGCGTAACTTTGCATGCATTTCTCACAAGCTGCCCCCGGTGAATAGCAAGCCATCTGGCAGAGAGGGTGTTGACAGAAAGCACGCGTGCCAAGAAAACGGTAAACGTGAGTGGGGACCTTGCAGTTGCTCCCACCGTAAGCTGCGGTGGCGGCAAAGCCTTATCGCTTGAGCTTGCAAGAAATCAAGCCGCGGTCGGAGAGCGCCGAGGGGCAGTTGGCACACTTCTTGGACAGGCCTGGAACGTCCTCAAGTGGAAGTTTCCGAAAGTAGGGACCCGAATCTGGCACCTTAAACAGTAGGATTCCTATTGTAAGGACCCCAATTGGACCCAGTGGACTGCACTGCCTCTTGCACTTGGAGGATCATGGGGCTTAGTAACTAGGGTCATTGCTAAGGTAAGTAACTATACTTAGACTTACTTATAACCCCTACTAAGAAATACTTACTAAGTCCCATGATCCGCCAAGCAGGGGGGCGCGATGCGCAAAAGCGATGTGAAACGGCCTGCGTGAGGCAGGTTGCCGTCTCGTCTTCTTTGACGGTAAACCTGGCTCGGGAAGGTGCGAAAGGGGCTTTTAAAATAGAATAGTGCAGGTACTATACGGACATTACATTAATTGTAGTATAAATAATAACAATAACAACAATAATAATGATAAGGAGTCCCCAAAATTTTTTGCAGTAATTATGCATGCCCCTATATTACTCGAGAATCTGGGCTTGGGCGTAACTTTGAAATGCGGCCCGGCCACGACCACGAAAGCTTCGTACAAGCCCTGCTGAGCTTTTGAAGATCGCCGGCGCTCGACAACCTCTGCACGGTTTAGGGTTCAGGGTTTTGGGTTCAGGGTTCCGGGTTTAGGGTTTACGTAGGGTTTAGAGGGTGGTAGGGAGAAGCACTGCAAAGAAAACTCCGAAACAGACGAGCCTGCAGAGAGTATGGTACTCCTCTTCCGTGCAGTCGTTGAAGGCCTGTGTCTTGACAAGGCGCTTGTCACAGCCCTTTTAGGGTTTGGGGTCTAGGGCTTCAGGGCTTACTAGGGTTTTTTATCCTCATTGATCCTCTGCGTAGACCCAAAACCCTCGAGGTATATCTCTGTTAGTGTCGGGTTGGTTGTTTGCTGGTTCTACTGCGCTTCTTCTGTGTTGCCATCAGAGTCTATAATGTACCTGAGAGCATATATGATAGTATAGCAAAGTTACAGACATTTGGACCCAGACATGTAACCCTAAACCCTTTTTCCACTGGACCCTTAAAACCCCTAAAACCTAAATCCCTAAAACCCTAAATCCCTAAACCCTAAAACCCTAAACCCTACGTCCCTTAACCCTAAAACCCTAAACCCTAAGTCCCTAAATCCCTAAGCCCTATAAACCCTAAGTCCCGAAACCCCTAAGCCCTAAACCCTGAATCCTAAAATCCCTAAGCCCTAAGTCTTTCTACCGAGGTGAAGGGCTCTCGAAACTGCAGCGCGGTCACGCTCTGCCTGTTAGGGCCAGGCCGGTGAGGATTTTGGGAGTTTCCGAAGATAGGGGACCCGAATATAGTACCCTAAGTAGTAGGGGTCTAGGGTTTAGGGTTTAGGGGTTTCGGCGCTCACACTCGGACAATCCAGGCGAGGCATGTGGTTAGGAGTGGTTCAGGGGTTTAGGGTTTGGGGTTCCTTGATATAAGGACCCCAAACACACGTGGGGGCCCAGATTGAGGGAGGTTCGATCCTAAAAGCAATTGAGACTGTGTGGCTCTTCGGCTCTAGGGTAATGTAGGAACCTGATTAAGACACCCTAGGCCCATAACCCCAAAATAGTAGGATTCATATGAGGAACCCTAATAGAGGCCCAAGGTTTCTTAATCAGGTTCCTACATTATACCGTTTAGGGTTTAGGGGTACACTGAAATCAACCCGGCTTCAAATTAGGGCTTTGGATCTGAGCTCCTCACCGGTGTAGGGCCCGGTCTCGCAAGGTCAGGGTTAAGGGTTCAGGGATAAAGCCCATAAATCCAAACCCCTAAACCCCGAATCCTGATGCCTTGCACCCTAAGGAGCCCCACACAGGCGCCTTCTCCCCATCGGTAGCCAAGCTGTGTTGCGTGTGCGCCTGGTGGTGTGTGGACGGGGGTGGAGTTAGGGTTTGGTTTATACTGTGAGGTTGAGGTGTCGGCGCTTCTGGATTTGCGGTTTAGGGTTTACAGTAGTAGCACAGTCTACTGCTTCAAGGGTTGCCGAAGGAGCACTTCTGGGGTGGCTTGCGCGCTTGCAGTGCAGCTGCTTAAGGCTCCTTTTCGGGCTGAGGGGCTTAGGATTTAGGAAAATTGGCAATGAATCCTACTATCCCCTATAATCCCTAAACCCCTAAACCCTAAACCCCTAAACCCTAAACCTACATGCTTGACTCTCGATTTCAGGGCTTCGACTGCCGACTGGAAAGGATCGCTCGGCTGAACACTGAATTCTCCTGCGTACCCCCGACACCCTGATCTTCAAGCTGCATGCCGCCGCCGAATCAGTAGGGATTACGACGACTTACTACGCTTCGGCGCTGGCAGACGGTTAGCAGTGTCCGCCCCAAAGCCTCCGGCCTCCGAGAAGCCAGCCCGCTTGCCAGCTGCGACAGCAACTAGGGCCAGAAGGACAAGCTGAGACACCTGAGTATACGGGAATGAATCTTTAGAATTGGATTTTGGGTGTGATCGGACAAGAAGGCGTTTCGGGCAAACGAAACTCGAGGGCTTGTGCCTCATCAGTAACTGTTAAGTCGTGTCCGTGTTGGAGTTCAGCTTTGCAAACAATATCCGTGATGACTCTGATCATCGAATCGTACTCGGAATGCCAAGAATCGGGTTTGGTGGTATATTGTAGTATATGGATTGATAATAAGGAGCCCTCACCAGATTTCTGCCACCTAGGGCTCCGGGCTTGGGCTCTGCAGCACCCTTTTTTTGCAACTGGGCTCTTAGCTAGCGGAGCTGAGCTTCAGCTGCGGGACCCCAAGCCCTAAACGCCCCTGAGGTCCGAGGGCTACGAGCCCCAAGGTCCGGGAGTCAGCATCACTGGTGGGTCCCGGAGGGCTCTAGCTCTGCAGTCATCGTCATTTGCTGTTTCAGGGCTTCGGTTTTAATAAGGCGATTTAGGGTTTAGGGTTTAGGGGCCCGGGGGGTTGTCGTTTATAGTCCTCCCTCATGCAGGTCCACAGCACGCAACTCGTCTTTGCTTGGACCGGCGGCCTTCAAGAGCTCACAGTCTGCAAACCCTAAACCCTAAACCCCTAAACCCTTAAACCCTATACCCTAAACCTGTCCCATGCTTGGAATTGTAGGGAACCACAGACCCACTCTAAAGGCTTCGTGCCGAAGATTCAAGAACTCAGAGGGTCTCCGAACTCTAAACCCTGAAGGTTCAGTGTCGCGAATACAAAAGTAGCGTTCTCAGCTCGCCGCCGACATCGTGAATGACGACTTTGAGGTTGACGGATAACGTCGCACTAGCACTTTTGCACTTTGAGCCAGAATCTGCGGGGAAGCAAGCCCCTTTCTGTCACGGGGCTCAAGTGTAAGGGTTTAGGGGAGGCAACCCCTATATAAACCCGAAACCCTAGGCAGATCACTCTCGAGGGCATCTCGGTGCCGTGAGGGTTGAAGGTCACACGAGCGCCGAGCCGGCTGCCGACGAAAAGCTTTAACTGTTCATCCAATTATAGCCATAGCTTTCTGAATGCAACAATAATGCACTGTTATGTTTCCCATTTTGTGTTGTTCCCGATTTAGGGCTCGGGGTCAAAACACTGAGGTCTGTGCACTGTCTCACCGGCCACATCTACGCGCTTCATTCCAAGCATTTCGAACTTGGCGAAGTACCTTCGCTGCCAGAAGGTTCATGTTTTTCGGTTAAAAACTGAGATGTTCATCGGATTGAGGCTAGACATAACTTACATAAAGGGAAGCAAGGTACGGTGATCTTATCAGTATGAACACCTGCATCAACATGTAAGCCCTCCTCAGCACGGGGTTGTCAGGCCATGGATCCTGTGGCCCTCGACCCGGGGCTCTGAAGTATAACCATGGAGAAAAAGTAACATCAGCGTTTATTTCATCATGGTTCCTTTACCCTTAGGCTCTAAGGACTCATATTTTAAATCTATTGGGCTATTTTGAGCCTAAGGGTTAAGGGACAAGAAGCACAAACACAATAGAGTATGGTAGTCCAAGGCCCAGTACCACTCATCCCATGTCATGAGTTCATCGAACCCCCGAAGAAGCAGCACGGACCCCAAACTTCGGAATCCGTGGGGTTTAGAGTGCAGGGTGTTCTGAGAACGGATGGTTTGATCTGGGCGCTCCAAGCCCCTGATGTAAAAAGATGAGCATACTATAGGGGCCTTGATTATTCGAAATCGGTGTTTGGGGTACAGGTATGGTCTATTGAAATTGAAACAGTTGGTATATATTTCGGCCCCTATATTATAGAAATAGAGCACAATTGTATACTATTATTGTGTTCGTAAGTAGTACGTTTCTCATCACCGCTAGTGTTGTGGCTCGCGTGCCTGTTGCTATGGTCATCGCATGCGGTTGCTCATGTCATTTTCATCAATACCTAGACCCCCAAAGTAGGTAAAATAACGGCCCAAAACCTATAAAAGGCTGTTATTCTACATAAATTTTGGGATCCAGGTACCTTGGAAGTCATGCTAACTGTCATTCCACTTGCTAACATGCTGACTACGAGCGTGATAACTACGCATGACGGTTTAGGGTTTAGGGAACCGTTGGGGTTACATAGACCACCCAAAGTCTAGGCAAGATAATGACCCAATACCTATAAAAGGCAATTATTCTACACACTTTTGGGGTCCAGGTAATCGCAAAAGACAAATGAACAAGCCACAAAGTAGGACCAGTAGGAACTCCACCTTATACAACGTGAGGTACTGTAGGACAGCATCACGCTTCGGGCGTAAGGTTGCAATGGCCCTGCATTTACAACGAAAGTTTTCGACTGAGTTCGGGTACAATGCGCGATGTGCAGCAGTACACAGGGACCTTCCCAGAATCATCGTCGTCATCAGTCTTCATTGTGTCCGGCTTCTACATCAATCCCCGGTAGCCCGAATATCCTGAAGATAGAAAAACTTAACCCTGGACCTGCCCTAAGCATAAGCCTAAGCCCCGACGCCGTAGCTCTGTAAGATCAAAACAGCCTCAGCCTGCCCCGAGCCTGTAGTCCTACTTAAACCTACAAACCACCAAACCCTGAACAGGGTTTCGGGTTCATGTGGGCTCTTCGAAAGCATCAAACCCGGATCCGGAAGCCCTACACCCGCCAGACGAGAGTATGCTTGCAACACATCCTCCCGTAACACAGAACATCAACCATTCTACAGGTGCAGAGCATGCAGGCTGAATTCTTCACCTCAAAGCCTAAACTGCAAGAGCTCACAGCCGACTATCGGTCTCAATAATTTCGCTAAGCTTAGGGCGTTTCGGAAGTTTATGGGGTATAACCATGCTAAAAGGAAACATCAGGCTCACTACGACCACCACTGCTTTTGCACCGCTACGGCTACTTCTACTGCTAATCTTATGCGGCACGCTGCGGGCGTCTAAGCGCGGCGTGGCAGTTTGTGCGATATTTGCCGCACTCTTGCTGTGAAGCGAAGCAAAACGGTCAACAAATATTTGTGCGGTGCTTGATTGCTCAAGTTCGGGAAGCAGGTTCGTAGTTGCATCGCCCTCAATGGCAAGGGTCATCGTGTCGACAATTGCCATTGAAAGGCTACGACATTGCCGCAAAAATCGAGCTTTTGCATTCGTTGCATCTGGAACGCATGCTTGCGAGCAGAATGGACAGAACGGCGACAACATGAGTGGGCATGTGCGCCTGCGTGCCCTCCTCTAGGAATGCGAAGCATTTCCGAGCCGCTGCACTACGGCTACTACCACTACCACAACCACTGCCACTTCGACTACCGCGACCACTGCCACGACCACTATGGCTACGACTACTGCTACTTCCCTAACCATCCAAGCCCTAAGCTCGGAGCCTCCCAAGGCCAGGGTGAAGCACGGCTCGACCACGATTGTCTCCTTAAGGGGCTAGGGTAAGAATTTCTAAATCAGGACAGAAATCAGAGTAGCATGTTTTGGGTGTAGGATTTGGGGAAGCCTGCCGGTGGAAGGCTTTGGCTTTAGAGTTTGTAGGGGTTCAGTGGTTTCCGGCTCATTTCGTATGTATGTTTTGGGTTTGTGCGGTTCGGGGGCTTCAGCTCTGCGTATAGACATCCATCCATCCATCCATCCATCCATCCGTCATCCAGACGGACAGACAGACAAACAGACAGACCTACATAGTTACAGACTCGCTGACATGCGGAAGTACATACCTGCATGCGTCCTTCTATGCATGCATGGGTATAATACAAACGTTACATGCATTTATGTGTTCATAACTGTACACGTTTACATATAAACATACATAAACCACATGCATACATAAAGACATGAACCATGCATGAATACAAATTACACACACACACACACACACACGTACAGCCAGGCAAAACACACTACCTACCTACATACCCACTTACCTACCTACCGATAAAGACACCTGCCTACATGCCTACATACATACAATAGACATACATACATACATACGTACCTGCATACCTACATTCGTGCATACATTGACATGCATAAAACATACATGCACACATACATAAACTCGAGCATACACGCTTACTGACATGCTGCATACTAGTACCTGCATACATGAAGGCATGCATGCATACCTACATGCAAACATACCTGCACAGACACGAACATCCAAGGACACATGCATGCATCCACCAATCCGTCCATCATCCATTCTTCCACACAGACAGACTTGCACACTTTATCTACTTTAAATGTTAGTTTACATTACTTGACATGACGTTGCATTACATTTCAGAGTATACTTACATGCATACATACATACACATACGAAATTACGTGCGTACATACATGGATGCATGAAATGCATGCATGCATCCGTCCATCCATCGATCGATCCATCCATCGATGCACGAATGCATGCATACATGTACGCATGCGCACTTGTGGCTGTGTCCCTGTTGGTGTCAGTGGAAGCGGCGCGCAAGTGCATCTGCATGTAAAATGTGTATGTGACTGTATGTGTGCAGGCATCAATTCTGGGAGTCAGGGTTTAGAGTTGCCAAGTCTCCTCCGCGCTGAGACGGCAGAAAGACCTCCATTCCGACGTCTTGTGACTCCTTTCCCACGTTTGAGACATATCTGAGAGATTTGCCCCACGAGGCATTGAAGTGCGGATGTTCGGAACCGAACAGACCTCGCTGAGATGACCTAAAACGTCGAAGTCCCCCTAGATCTCCTGCAACAATGCGAAAACAAAGCTTGAACTCCACAGAACAAGGGATGAAACGCAGAAAGTAATCCAGAACACAGCATGTGAGAGTTCGACTGCCGAGTGGTGGAAAGAGCACTATACTTGCAAAGGCTCACGCGCAACGGCAGCAGCATCGTCATGATGTTCGGCAGCCCAAATCACAACCCTACAGCAACCACAAGCAACATGTATGGCAGTTTCACTGATAGCACTCACGACAGCACGGATCAGACGACAAATGCAGATTTTATGAGTAGCAGTAGGATGTTCTCGACACGCGTTGGAGTCCAATTCTGCAAACACTGATAAGCCCGAAGGTCCCGAATCCCAGACTTCTGAAGCCCTGATGGGAGGCCAAAAGGGGGGGTTTAAGATTCTTGGGATAGGGATTCATATTATGAGCCCTATTATGGGAACCCTAATCCCTACTAAACCCCCATAGGCTAAAACCCCTTTTGGTATCTTTTTGGTCTCCTATGACCGAGATCCCAGATCCCCCCCTTCTCGCCTCGGTCGCGGTGTCCTCGCTCGGCCCCGGGCAAGGCCAGGTGACCCAGCCCGAACCTTGGATCTAAGAGTCTTACAACCCTCCCCGGCAGCCCTCCCCATGCAAAACACCTTTATCAACAGTATATGATCACTATCTCGGGACTATCCAGGGTAATGATGGGAAGTCAAACGGGGTTTACCCTAAACCCTAAACCCTACTCCGTATTCCCTAAACCCTAAACCCTGCACCCCAAACCCTACTCCCTAAACCCTATACTCTAAGCCCTAAACCGTTTGGGGGTTTAGGGTTTAAAAGGTTTCTTTGCTGGTAAGCTCCGAAACCTGAAGCCTCGAAACCGTAAAGCTTCATCCTGAAAAATACACCCCAAACCCTACTTGGAGGATCATGGGACTTAGTAACTAGGGTTACTATTAAGGTAACTATACCTATAACTACTTATAACCCCATAAACCCTACCTAGACCCTCAAAAGTAGGTAAAATAATGGGCCAGAACCTACAAAAGACTATTGTTCTACATACTTTTGGGGTCCAGGTAAATCCCACGCAAGCTTGTAAACCTTAAACTACCGACCTCTTGGTTCTAGGCTTGTAAGTGCGCCTGTCTACTGCGTGGGTTTGAAAGTTTCGAGTCTTGCGGTTGAAGAGTTCTCAAAGTTTCCACGCACTTTGCCATCGAGTTCGGCAGTCCCGCAGTGTACTCGGGGCGATTTGTGGAGGAGGGTCTGGGTTCTATACCTATCCAAAAAGAAGGAAAATCCAACACCTCCAATAATATCCATAGAGACAGGTGCACAAGATTGAATTCCATTGTAGGGTTTGTCTACCGGCAGCACCACTGCTCAGGTCCTCTCGGCAGTCATGGCTTCTCGGATACATCAATGCCCAAACACTGAACCGGAAAACACTGAAGAAAGGCCTGGAGCTCCCCATAACATGACCAGCGAGATACGGTTTAGGATTTATCACAGTTTCTAGTTAGGGTTTAGGGGTTTAGGGTTTAGAGTTTAGGATTAACAGTCTATGGTTCAAGGTAAAAGTATTGGTCTGCATGCTAACATGTAGCTGTGTCAAGGCTATCGCAGAAGGACTACATGAACGTTAAAACCTGCTGACTCATGCACTACTGTAGCCCACACGATGCTATCATTAGGGGCACTTGCGTTCTCGGGGGCGTATAAGACTGGAACAACACGATGGATTCTGAGAATCGCAGAGCATGGACCTATGCTTATGCTCGGTTAGTAGGGAATGGAGGAATGGGGTACAATTATGACTACTATTGCCACCATTCTTCTAAAGGTAAGTATGTCTGTCAGGCCGACGCGCACACCAGATATTAAAACCCAAACATGCTTGGAACTGTCAACAGTCAAAGTTCGAGACATCAAAAATTCAATGCCTCAGGTCCAGCGAACGGTATGTGCTCTGAAGCCTAAACCGTAATCATTTATAATATGCGAGCATCTGATTGTGGGAAGCGCTGCGTGCTTGGCAAAGAGGCCACGCAGCTCCTGTACTCCGGGTTGCTCAGGATACAATCAGCCTCTGATTGCTGCCAAAGTTGAAAATGTTCATGTTGAGACTGTGTATACACTATACACTACATGCAAAATCGGTAGTATGTAGCCGAACGTAGCCACGCTAGTTAATCATTGTAAGGACAGGACTAACATTAATGGAAGCTTACTTGCAACTGTTTGTTTCGGAAATTGTAGTGTTTGGAGATCGCTACCACCCTGATATGGCGGGTCTGGAACCATGCAACTTCTCATGGGCTTTATGCGCAGTCGGATTTCGAAACAGGGAAAGCTGAAGTTCTTTCCACACGGGCCTTGTTGGTGGAATATCCGGGGCTGCGAATAGCTTCATGTAGATCCTAGTCTGGATTCTTGTTTAGGAACTTGACATAAGTTACCTTTATAAGCTTGAGGAAGGTAAAGGAACCTCACCTAATCACCCTAGCATTGGTAGTAGTACTTATTGTTGTTGCTGTGGCAGTAGTAGTACTGGTAGTGGAAGTGGTAGTGGTAGTGGCAGTGGCAGTGGGCAGCGGTAGCGGTAGTGGTCGTGGTAGCTCATTAGGTAGCTAGGGAGGCTTGGGAGCAGCAGCAGCAGCAGCAGCGGCTGTTCGCTCGCTTTCCTCCACTGTGTCGCGATCCAGTTCGGCCACCTGCGTCGTGCGGCCCTGTCCTGGCACAGTTTAGACCCGCAACAATTAGTTCAAGGGCTCAGACCCATACAAAACAGCCGGCGCTGTGCATGTTTGTGCTAAGTACGCAAGGTGCGGGATGTGCAGGGTTTATGGCTTAGGGTTTCTCGGTTTGATGATTCACCTTCTTGTCGGGTATCATGGGGAACTAAACGTTAACCTTTTAGGGAATATATAGGGACTATGATGGGACTATACTACCCAAAAAAGGTTAAAGGTTACCTACTCTACTACTAGGTTTAAATTTTTAAGGGCTCTATCGGCTTGCGGTGTTCAGGCTTAGGAACTTCGGATGGGCAGAGTGTGCAGGCAACAAAAGTCGAGAGCCCTGAACTTTGTGATCCTTGCAGCCTAGGCGTGTCCCATCTGCAGCCCGTCCTGAGACCCGATAGGCCAGAGATCTCGAAATGTAAGGGCTGAGGGTTTAATATGGGCACTTTTTACAACTGGGCTCTCACGAATGTCAGCATCAAGGTACATATGGTGTCATTTTAGTTACGCCTATACCTATTGGTCTCCATTGTAGTTCGTTTTCTGGATACCTCGCTGTTAGAATCCTGAGCATAACAAAGGTTCGCCAACAAAGGGGATGAATGGAAACCCTACCTGGGGCGCCAAAGTTGCCAAGAAAACCCTGCAACTTTAAAATAAGCAGCGCCTTTGCCAAAGTGGCGGAATATTGTGCCACCGGACCCGAAAAGCAGCAACTTAAAGGAAGTAGCTAAAAACACCAGTTTTGTGTTGTTTTAAGGCGGCTCAAGTGGCTCAAGTTGTCCATTAATGAGCGGCGACCTTGCGGATAGTGCGAATCAAAAAACCCTAAAGTCCCTAAAAACCTGCCCTAATGCTAGATAAGCCAAATAAGACAGGAGCGAGCGGCTTGAACCCAAACGTAATATAGGTTAGAAGCTGCCCCCACCCTGTAATAGTGGTATGATAGGAATATAATAGGGCCCTAATATAATATTAATATAATCCTTATGGTCACTATTACAGGGTGGGGGCAGCTTCTAAAATATAGGCCTAATTTCGGGCTGGATTTCAGGCTTGTGTCGGGATTCGGAATTCAGGACTTTGAAGATCGAATTGAGTTTTCCGGCCTTTGAAGATCATTGCTATAGGGTACATTGAGAACTCGGGCTCTAGGGTTTCGGAGCTGGGGGTTTCAGACATAGATTTTGGCTTGGTAGAGAGTATTGCAACGGGCTTCCTCGGGGTCGGAACATCGCGGGCTTCAAGGTTCCTGATCGAGCATTTTATATATATATATACAATAAAGCCAGTATTACAATTATCAATTATAAGTCACACTAGACTAGATGAAAACAACCGTGTACCATCATCCACGTGACCTGCAATCTTCAAGCCGAATCTAAATTCGTAGTTTAAGAAAGATAGCGTGAGCAGGAATTCGGAACCTCCCATTTAAGGTATAGCAAACAGGCAGCAATCCTTATGTATCGCAGTTTCGTTCTTCCCAGTTCACTCAACATGATGGCCTCAAGATACAAGCTTGGGGCGCTATACTAGACAAGGATCATCCCTGACCCCTGAACCCTCCCTAATAAACCCTAAACCCTTAAGCCCCTAAATCCTAAACCCTAGGCCTAAACCCTGAACCCTGTAATCCCTAATCCGGGATTCTATCCGAGCTCTGAGGCTCGTTGAAGTTGAGGGTATCGATATCTGGATCTGTATCAATATATCTATAGATATTTAAATCTGTATCTATACCTATATCTATATTTCTATATATTTGTCTCTCTCTATCTATCTATCTGAGAGATCTCGGAATAAGTACATAAATAAGCAGTTTGTCTGATTCCACAACAAGACTTGTAACAAGACTTACTTACACATCAGCGAGTCGTACCATGAGTTAATCTCGAAAACCCTGCCGAACTCCACTGCGTCTTTGGGAGCCCCGGGGTGTTCGAGCCCCACGCCTGAAATCTGTGTTAGGAAATATAGGGTTTGCATGCAGGTAATCAAACTATAAGCTTTGCTGTACGTTCTTGTAGACCCGTATCTGCAGGCCTAAGACCCTGCGAAGATCGGTACGTGTACAGGTTTAGAAGCTGCCCCCACCCTGTAATAGTGACTGTAAGGATTATATAGGATTATATTAGGGCCCTATTATATTCCGATTATACCACTATTACAGGGGGGGGGCAGCTTCTAAGTACAGTTGTAGAAGCTTTGCAGGACAATCGTCTTACAGTCGGAGGATCATGCTCTACCATCGATCGCTAAAGGCTCGAACCACACCCCTAAAGCCTACAGTTTAATTTAAGCGGGGGCTTCGGAAAGCTTCGATTTGCAAGGCTCAGCAAGCCGCCTTTCCACATGCTCGCCGCTTTTGCGGCATCTTAAGATGTCTCCATCAGTTCTAGTGGCAAATCTCCACATGTATGATTTATACACGGGTCTACATAAAGGTTCCAAGTTTCGGGTCGGTATTAAGGGATCGAAGACTCGTATATGGACATAATGCCGCTAAACTGAAAATGCTTGCATACACAGCATGCCTGAGACGGCAGCCAGCACAAACTTAAAATCATATGGTTCTTTGCTTTGGGGCTTCGGTTTGATTTAGTATAGTAATGCGCTCATCGGCAGCACCATGCCGCCAATTCCTGAGCTATGGCAAGCTTGATCCATGAGGACTGCACAGCAAGTCTTTGTAACCGCTTCGGCCTGTCTAACTGCATCCCTATATGCACTGTCGACCGGAGCTCGAGTGAGTAATACAACGAACATTAAGCATGGAATGAATAACTATAGGCATTCCAATTGGCAGGATGTGGCTATGTGGGTGGCTTTGCGCAGTGGCTCACGCCGAGGCAAGCATGATGATCATATGTTCGGTTGGCAGGGCGTGATCTTCTGCTCGTGAGTGTCACAGCTTCATTGGGTGGTTTCGTACAATTATCCACGTTAACACCTGCGTGCGACAGGCACTCCGATGTGGGACGATTTCTGCGCCGCGATCGACCAGGCCGGCTTAATATTGCAGAAGTGTCCTAGCTTTTCTCTCAATCTTTCAGACCGAGTGCACTGGTGTGCGTGCACATGCATCTCGACTAGCTGTATTTCGGTGCAGATTTTGCGGCTTCGAGTGTGTATGCTCTACAGTGTCGCTCGGGATGGCTTCACTTGCCGAAAGCTTGGAACAGGTTCGCATGGTTCGCAAGCGGTTTCGCATCGGAGCCCCATGGATCCATACTCCGAAGACCGATGAAGGTGACGAATGCCTTCAGTGTGTTCGTGGTTTGAAAGCGAACTACAGCATCATTCTCACGATGGTGCATCATTTCAAGCAGGGCAAGGTTCTCATAGACCCTTTGCAGGCAGAGGCACCTCGATCGGCAATCAAAAGCCTGCTGAAACAGCTAGCGCAAGCTTTCCATGTTTAAGCTGTTATGTTGGCTGAACTAACGGGGGCCACTCTAGGTACGAAAGCTTTTCCACGATGTCGGCTATGTGCCAGACCCGGTCCTTAAGCGGGATTATCTTGATGCCTGGTCCCTTAGAAGCTTGTACGGCTTTGCGTGGCGACGCTACATGGACTGCCACCGCCGTGAGCAGACTCCCAGAGATCCTATGCTGTTGTAGCACGGGGTTAGATATTTATTGCTGATTATAACTGCGACGTCAAAGTTGGGGTTTCTATACAGGTGTTATCTTAGCTTAGGCCGTTTCTAGGTTGTGAAGCTCTATGGGGAGCTACTGTAACAGCCCTCCTACCCCCACATACGCAAACACCCACACACAAAACTCAAGCATATACTTAGGATTGGGAAGTACGACAAATTTTCCGAGAAATGGCTCGCCTGAAGGGCCATCCCTTTCCAGAGGAGGACGAACTCGACGCGGATGATGAGGATGAGTGTGATGAAGAACAGGAGGAGGAAGATGCAGAGGAAGATGCCGAAGAAGAGGACGAGGAACAGGGGGAGGATATTGACGGGGAGGAATATGGGCATGAAGGGGAGAACAAGGGTGACGAGGAGATGGATGATGATGATGAAGTCGAGGTGCTTTCGGCGCATCCCGGCTCTTCGGGCCCCACTCCAGCTGAGCTGCACGATGCAATCCGCAGCAGTCCCACAGCGGCATCTTCAGGGTTGGATGACAAACGGCGGGAACTCTATGAGAAGATGTATATGATCAAAGAATTGGAGAACGAATTGGGTATTCAGCACTTCGGGTGGCACTCATTCTCATTATTTTTGAATTCCCATCAGTCGAAAATATAACCCTAGAGCCCCGAGTAGCACTACATACGGGAATCACCACGCCCAGGCGAGGCTCCGACCCGGTGAAATCCAAGAGGGTCTCCGAGCCAGTTGTCGCAGCAGCTGGGGGTTCCCCTGAGGGTTTCAGCTATAGTTTTTTGCACGAGTATTATAAGGTTTAAGCTTTGAATTTCGAGACACCGGTTTGCTAATCTCCTAGTCCTTATAAATATCATGGGCCCGTCGTACACCGTAAGGAGCTACACCGATCCCGATAGAGGACAGCCCGCCCCAGAAGCCACGTCGCTCCAGCACCTTCAAGCATCCCGACCATCAGGACGCAGAGCTCTTGATCGTAGCTCAAATGACTCGCGGCCCAATGTCGATCTTAAAGTTTGAATACTTTAGAGGATGGGGAATTACGATAGCAAGTGTTTAGCAGTATAGGTTAAGGCAGAAGCGAGTGGAACAGGAATCGACAGGGTCCTAGAAAGTACAATAAAGGATGTAAGGCATATATACATATGTGGTTGTAGAGATGTACGTAGACACCTTTTCAATGAGTAGATAATGGCCGGGTAGATAGACAGCTACAGATAGACAGGCAGCCGGACCGCCAGGTGTTTCACACATATGGGTCAGTCAAACTCGATCTATGTGTTTATACCTACCCGCCTATATCATCCTATATCTATCTACTCATCTATCTACCTATGTACCTCCATTAAGTCCCACATAGCTTT